CTAAATAACAGAATTTTTTTTTATTTTAACATTTTTTTGTGAAAAAAGTTGGAAAAAAAGTTATGAAATTATAGTAAATTGTATAATAAATCAAATCATAATATACTATAAAACTTGGATAATAAAAAATATGAAACAGTTTTGACGTAAGACTCATTTAATCTCCTTCTGTAGAAGTCAATGAGATTGAGAAGTGAGGAACGAGCAAGCATTTGAACCGAGAAAACTGGAAAAGGGTACACTCATGGAGCACGAGACCGCCTTACAATTTCCGAGGTACCCCACGTCCTTCACAAATTTTTATGTGAACGATGAAAACGAATTCTCGAACAAGTTAACGAAGAAAAACCTTCGGCGCTTTATCCCAAACGCTAACGTCTACGATCGGATAGTCGAGTGGTTGGATTGTGTTGATACACAACCCAATTCTATTATTGTGTAAAGCCCAAGTTTCATTGTTTTTATTTATATTTTTTAATTATTTTTTTAATTGTTTAATTTAATCGGATTGTTTTATTTACTCTCTCTGAACAATTTTACTTCGATAAAATAAAATTTTTTGTTTTTTTTTATAAACAAAATGCGAGTATAATTTGATTAATTGAGAAACGAGTATTTACTAGTATTTTAGTAGTTATGCAATGGTTTCAAAAACACCATTGTAGAATTGAAAACTATTCCAATGTGGATGATTATGTAGTAAGACAAAACCAATAAAATAAATCATATTTACACATTGTTTATTATATTAACTATATAATAAATTTATTATATTAATTAATAAAACAAAAATAGAGTTATAACACTCCCCCAAAAAATGTAACTTAAAATCAAGCGCAACTGAAAAGTCCATAGTATATGTTATTTGTGTTGCTTTTGTTAGTTGTGTACAGTAACGCTGTGACAGTGAACGGTAATTGGGTGTCAAAAGTATACCGTGTAAGAGAGAAAGTCCAGTCGTTGGACGCTCGTTACTCCGAGCTGCTCGACCAAGTCAGACACGTATCGGACCAGCTCGACCATGCTCGTATGGATTATGAGAACTGCATCCCAGAAGCGAAACAAGGTATCGCTGCCAAGGTCAAAGAGATGGAAGAAATCGTCGCCATCTCCAATTTGAATGCCAACAAAGTCCTCGCCACGATGAAAAGAATGTTGAATAAACTCCCATCTGATTTGAGAGAAAGAGTTATCAGAGACATACACGTCGAAAAGTATTTTTCACCAGTTAATGAACTTATTCACAGAACCGTACATCCTGCTAAAAAGTAACCAACTTGGTCGTGTTCTTCTTCGTATTTTTTACCTTTTTCAATCCTCTTGTTCCAAACTTCTCAATCTCGACCTCTCTATAAATCAAGAAAATTAATTTTTAATCTCTGAATTTGTATTCTTATGTACTATTTTTTTATTATTAATAATTTATATTATATAGATTATTTTTTTTGATGTTTAAACCACAAAACAATTTTTTATTTTGTACAATATCATTTTATTTCTATTTTATTTGATTACACATTTTATTAACAATTGAATACTAATAATCAAACCATAATTAATTATAATTGTTATTAATAGAAATTCAATTTTTTTATTTTTTGTGTTTGATTAATTATTTGAAAAAACAAAAAAATAAGAACACGACATTTGATTTAATCATATATAATATTTATTAGTAAATAAATAAATTATCAAACAAATGTATTTATAACTATTATAATTACAATATAATTATTTAATTAATTAAATTACTTTTCAATTTCCCATTGATGCCAAAATTTAATCCATAAAAACACTTTTATTTTTTTATTCATTTTTGTTGTTGTTTTATGATAACATTACCAATAGAATTGATTCTAAAAAAAGAATCATCACTCTTGAATTATCCATATTAATAAAAAATATTAATAAAAATATTAATGAAAATATTAATAAAAATATTAATAAAAATATTAATAAAAATATTAATAAAAATAAACCATATTAAACAGTCCCATATTGTTGCATAGCCAACGTGTAATAAAATCCTTTGAGAGCCATGAGTTGTTCATGAGTTCCTTCTTCCGCGACTTTTCCTCTCATAATGACGCAGATTTTATCTGCATTTTGAATGGTAGACAGTCGATGCGCGATAACAAGAGTAGTTCTTCCTTTTGCAGCGTTATCCAAAGCGCTTTGGACTATTTTTTCCGACTCAGAGTCCAATGCACTAGTTGCCTCATCTAATAATAAGATCTTTGGATTTCTAATTAAAGCGCGCGCAATAGCAATTCGTTGTTTTTGGCCGCCACTTAATTGACTTCCTCTATCACCGACTAAAGTGTTATATCCTTCTGGTAAAGCGCTAATGAACTCGTGTGCATTTGCCATCTTTGCTGCATTAAAGATTTGTTCATTAGTGATTTCGCAGTCATCAGGCATTCCATTCTTGATGTTGTCTATCACACTCTGTGCAAAGAGAACGGGCTCTTGGCCTACTAAACCAATCTGTTCGCGAAGAAACTTGATGTCCAGTTCATTCACTTTGTGTCCATCGATTTCAATATCGCCAGAAGTGACGTCATAGAACCTCTCCAACAACTGAATTGTAGTACTTTTCCCGCACCCGGACGCTCCTACCAAAGCTACCGTCTTCCCCTTTTCCGCTTCAAAAGTGAGACCTTTCAAGACTTCGATTTCTGGACGTGTTGGATATCTAAAGTGGACGTCTTTAAATCGAACATTCCCTTCGACATGTTCTATCCCATTTTGTGTACACGTCATCTTATCTATTGGGGGGACTCGATCGATGACATCGTAGATCTCTTTAGCCGCAAAAACAGCCTTCCCGACGTCTGGGAGGACGTTCCCGATCTGTCCAAAAGACGTTGCTGCGCTATTAATAGCCAT